CTCGGCTTCAGCGAGCGAGTATTTGGGGCGGAATTTGCAGCGGGGCTGAAGGCGGTTGCGCGTGACTGCTTAAAAGCATTTTGGAGGCCGTGGTTCTGCGGAACGGAGGGTTGGAAATGGCCGCAGCTCCCTAAGTAGGGCGCTGCTGGGTTGTTGCGTTCGCCCGGAAAGTAAGTGCGAATTCAGCTGATGGCGGGGGTGGGTGGGTGCGTGCGTCCCGTGATGCAATATACCCGTGGTGGGATACCTCCGTGTGGTTGGAAACAGTTCGGTGACGTGGAAATTGGCAAAACTGGTAACTGTATTGCAACCGTGTATCCAAGTACAGTAGTAATCGTATTTTGTTACTGTTGAGCCTAAGTGTGTGGTCTCGGGTATCTCAGAGCGTGGGACCTGACAATGTCTTAAACTCCTAGTGCTATTTGGTGATAATTGGGAAGCGAGGAAATAGGTGGCTACCCCCGCTTGTTTTTCTTAGAGGCTTGTGGAAATTGAAAAGAAGGATGGAATGACTCTCATCCTCAACTGTAACGTTAGCTTTATTGGCTAATTTTTGACCAAGCATAAGAACAGCCATTTTACAAGAGCTGGCTGGCTGCGGGAAAGCAGCATTCATTCTTTCTGTATACATTTTGGAGACTCGTGGGATCAAATGAAAAACCAGAAAAGCAACAAGCACAAATATTTTCAGAGCTCATTAGAGGAGCATATGTAAGTTTCTTAAATTTGACTGTGCTAGTATGAAGTTGCCAGTGAGAAGTGAAACACCGAAATGGCAATGCAGCATGCTTTGGACTTGGCATTTGTAGATACACGGCTTAACATAATTTTCACAAAAGTCTTTTAAGTACATTATCTGCTGTGTGAGCAAACATGGCAATTATGTTTAGCCCTTCAGACTTTGACTTGGTTGTTTCATAAGAGTATAATGAATGAAATAATAAAGAACAATATCCTTTTTTTTGTTTACTTTTGAGTATATGACAGCTTTTAATATATCCTTGTTTTCTTGGCTGGATATATCTCTGCCTTTACTTTAATACTTCTAGTTTACATCTGAGAGCTAGGGCTCCCACTTTTGTTTTTCCATAGGTTGTAGATGTAAGAGTTGACAAGCAAGATAAAAAACTAAGGGGTGTTGTGAAGAGAAAGCTTACCTTTTATTGAACATTGGTAGCAAGGTGAAGGTCATGAAACCTTAAGGAATTGAACCTGTGAATGAATTAGAATATGCAAATACAAGGACAAAACTGGCATTCATAGCACAGAATGGACAATGATGTATGTTGGACTTCTGCACCCTGTCTTCTTTGGTGTAGAATTAACACAACCTTAAAAAATAAATTCAAGTTCACTTCTCTCGTCGTTGCGCTCTGCGCTTCCTAGGAGATGAGATATTATGGCGAGGGTAGGATTGAGTTGTGTGCCGGGGCTTGGGGTGGCTTCTGTGCCTGCTGTGTGTCTCATGGCTGGGGGCACCTGGCAGACGGGAAGCCTGTGGAGTGGAGGGAACCAAGGGAGATGCGGCCTCTGCTGCTGCCTCACAGCGAAACCTGCTTTTTCTCTCGGCTTCCGCTAGCAACCCACTCCTAGCTCTCTGAAGTGCACAACTTATATGTGTCTGGTGGGTCTTGGCTGTAGAAGGATTTCTGGGTTGCAGTTTATATGGTCGTGGGGCTTGGAAATTGCAGACTAAATAGCTGCTCAGTGGCACAAGCTCCGTGGTCGTCTTGTCATATTCAAAATATTCTTTTCAGTTCTCTCTAGAGGAGTGGTAAAATCTATGAAGTATTTAGATTGGCACACATGTACATTTTAATTAATTCTGCTGGGAATTTCCGTAGCTGTCATTGCTGAAGACTTGTTTTAGATAGAATGTTTACTATGAATCTTTAGTTAGTACTTCAGGAATTTCATGAAACTAACAGAACTGAAACTCTTTGGTAACAAAATACCACTGCTTAGAAAAAAATGCTTATATTGACGCTTCCCATTTTTACTAAAAATCCATATTCAGCTTTTTTTCCTTACTTGCTGAATCCTTACCAGTGTAACTTCTATAGAATTTTTGTATCTGAGCTCCTTTTACTTGAGGATATGCTGAAGCCGAGTACGGTAATGTGGCTGTGACCACCACAAAAATGACAGGCAGCAGCTGTAAGTTTTGGTCTTTGCAGCTTAGTGAAGAGTGATCTGCGTATCAACACTTGGTTTTTCAGCTGAGCAAACTGTATTGCCAGTTCCATTTGCCTGCAGCTGAAAAAAAGGGTAACTGAAACAGTTCCTGCCCCTTGCCAGGCCATTTTTCCCCAGCTCCTGTAGAGCTGCTGATCCTTGCCTGAAGCAGCCCTCAGCTGCTGCAGTTTGCTGGCTGGGCATAAAAGCCAGAGGAAGGTGAATGGTGGGGGAGGATTGCCTAAGCTTCTGTGGTTGAAGCTGTTGTCAAATATCTGTTGATTTTCCTGTGATTGTGCAAACTCCGTGGGCCAAGGCATTTAAGAGACTGTTACGCTCCTGGAGAAAGCTTTGTCTATGTTTAGAAAACTTGCATCAGTGAAGGGTCTTAAGGGGGGGTTTCTTTTTGTTCACCTTTATAGTGAAGTAGAGCAGATGGTTCTTCATATGATGCCCTTCCTCTTCCGTTAAAGAGGAATAGAAATTATTAAGAAATTTTTGTTCATTGTGTTTTAGGAACACTTCAAGAATGAGTCCATCACAAGATAGAAGTAGAAATTCCTGCAGCATTGAGCCTCTGGCAAAGTGCCTTCAAGCAAAGAAGGACTTGGAAACAGCTATATCTGGAATTGTGAAAGCTGAACAACAGATTAAAGAGAACTGGCAGGAGGTAATTTTAAATTCTTCTTAAAAAATGTTTTAATAACAAACATGACTATAATGACAGCTTTTATTATTCCAGAGTACTTTCTATTATGATGATGGTCTGAAATTTTCCGAGAGACTGGCAAGCATCTTGCTTTGTAACTTGGTCATGCTCTCAAAGGTATTCCTGTATTACTAGCTTAGGCACGCATAATTTACTGAAGTTGTTGGCTGAAACATCAGAATAGAGAGATATTGCAAATAACATTGTTCTTTGATACTTCTTTAAAGGTAGCCTTGGAACTTTTACTAACTTGAGTCATATGGTGCTGTAAGTGACTGTGGTCAGTCTTTGAGAAATAAATTGCTCCAAAAATACCACTTAGCTGTGACAAATACTATTTTGTAATCAGCGCAGCACATGCTTGTTCATACTTTGACAGATGTGCTAGAAACGGTACACGTTACCTTACAGGTAAAAGCCAAGATTCACAGTCACATAAGCCGCCACCTGGAATGCCTGCGCAGTCGTGAAGTTTGGCTGTTTGAGCAGGTAGATCTCATTCAGCAGCTGAAAGAGGAGGCCCTGCAGCAGCAGGCACAGCAGCTCTATTGGGTAAGATTTGGTTGCAAATCAAAAATGCACTGGCATTTTTAAGTCAACATTGTCCTTGCAAGTATTTTCTCAATTTTAATCTTAGAAGCCAAAACAATAACACGTGTTTTGTCTTCCATGCAGTATTTGGGACAATTCAATTGCCTTATTCATCAGCTGGAACGCTCCTGTAGTAACGAACTAGCAAACCAGATTTCAGTTTGCCTGGAGAGGTAAATGTATTTTATGATGCAAGTTAATACAATTGGTATTTATTTTGACTTATGAATTTAATCTGATTTTTTATCCTAATAGAACTAATAATAGATCTAGCTCACTGTTTCCATATTTTTAATGGTTCCTAGAAATAGGATCTTTAAAGCAGTTTGAGGTATGATTCCTCTCATCTTTTTTATCTTAGATTGATAACACGGGACTATAATGACCAGTGGAGGTACTCGTTGGTGCAGATTTCAAATGTTAATTGTTGGCAATTGAAGCAAGAAGGTGAAACTTGTGTTTTGCTGGCTATTTATTCTGTTCTTGGTTTGTAGATAAGTATCTCTTTATGCAAGCATTAAAAGTCTTCCTGTTACCGAATTAGTGCCAAGTCAGTTTGGAAGCCTTTTTATGGAATAATGGATTGATACCTAAAACATGACAAGTGATGATGATTTTTTTTTTTTTCTTTCTGTAACTGTCATCTTACCCTTTCAGACTGGAAAGTCTTACTCTTAAACCAGAGGAGTCTTCCATCCTGAATTTTGAGGCTGACACATCTTACCTTCGCCAGGCAATTACCTCATTTGGTTCAATTAAAACGATGGTAAGCACCAAGACTTTCCTGGGTTGGAATATTTGAAAAAAAAAAAACAAAAACAAAAAAACCAAACAAACAAAACACAAAAACCCAAACCAATCAACCAAACTTTTTTTGAGAAAGTAGTGCAATATATTCCAAGTGATTATAATTATAGCTCGAATGGATCTTGTGTACGAGTCATATAGTTTCATGTGGTTTATTAACTATTGCATGTAGTTCTGATTTTGACTGAGCTTAGATCTAGTTACGTACATGTCATTTTAATATATGTTGGCTGATACTGAAGGCATGATGATTATATTCTTACTCTGTTCCAGCAACTGAAAAGTAATGTTATGGTTTTCTTCAGATACTAATATTTATTAATATTTATACATTGTAGATGGCTTTCTGTGATATAAATATTTTGGGATTCCCATGTAAGCAGTGTATCTCCTGTATTATTGGAGATAATTCTCTTAAAGCAAGTGGACTGAAGGTCATATTTTTGTAGTAAATCTTTCTTCATTCTGTTTTTAAATGTTGAGAAAATTGTTAGCCACAAAGAACTGACCAGTTGTAACTGTGCTTTATTGTAGAATTCATTCTAGAAACTGGATGAAATTCAGATTTAAATTAACTTTTCTTTCCTTCCAGCAAACCTCAGAGAGAGAGAATACTTCTCCCTGGTTCCCAGGGCAGAATTGTGCCCTAATGAACCGCGAGCAGGTAAGATTAAGACTTGTATCTGTGAATGTTTAATTGCATTAAAAGGAGAAGGAGAGCTTAAGTGCACAATATGTTAGCTTGCTTGAGTAATGACTTCTGTTTGTTTGTTAAGATGTTTCAGTAGCCTGTAACAGTCACTGTGGGGAGCATTAGCGATCTGATGTTCTAGCTGCTCCAGGAACAGATGGGCAAGAACATAGTATGAAAGTGAATTCGGAGTGTGACTGTCAGGCAGAATTTTGTAACTGAATATTCCTTGATGTTGTCAGGTTGGGACTTTGAACACTCCGATTCCATGTAATGCAGAAACTGATGGGAAATCTTATACTGAGCTCTGCAGAGAAGCAGTATCAGTGAAGGAGGCTAGCAAATTAGTAACGGGAATTGCAGTCGGAATTGTGGTCATGGCTGGGTTACACATATCAGAACTGTGCGCTGTACAAGTTTGTTGTTTCCCTTTCTTGTCACTTGCTCTCTGAAGAATCTGGGATCACAAAACAATCTATCGGTGCAGGGGCTTAATGTCATATAGGCAATTGAAGATTTACTTCTTCCTTAATTAGAAGGGACTGGGTTTTCTTTTGGTTCAGAGACACTGATGCCTGCTTTGATGTTCACTATAGACTGCCTCAGCAATTAGATTCTCTCTTAACCAAGAACGTTCTTTCTCAGCAGAAGACGCTGTGTGGGACAGTGAGTGCCTCGCTTTCTGACTGGCTACTTGGAAGCAGACCTGTGGGTGTTTGCCAGGCTCCATATGTTCCCAGCACCAACCTTGAGGAATGGGTTACACAAAAATGTGTGTCAGAGCCCAGCCAGGTAAGGCCTTTATGCACTAACCCAGTTTTTAATAAAGGGGAAAACGTAATATCCAATTGCAGGCAGAATATAGTGGGAATTAAACCTTCTGTAATTCTCTTCACTCTGCCTCATGTTCAACTAATACTTTTGCACTTACTGTCAGAATACTCCAAGTTGTAACTGTGCAAATAGTTACTGAACGTTGTCTTTTAGTGTTAATAGATGCATTTCAATGTGTCTTTACTAGGATTCAAATTCTTCCAAAGTCTGTTATTTTGAGCAAGCCTGGGGAAATCTGAAAGATTTGGAAAACTGGCTGCTGCAGAATCAACAGCGTGATGTTGCTGGGAAGACAGACTCCCCTGGACGCAAGGACTCCACCTCTATTTTCAACTTGTCCTTTTCCACAGTTGAAAAGGTGGAGGGATTGGAATCCCTTGGACAAGAAGAGATGGACCTTTCTGACTGGCTGATTACTCCTGACACAGAAAATGGAAGTAGTGCTTCAGATGAGAAATGGAAGTATGAATTTAAACCCTTTATGGAAGAATTTAATTTGAATGATTGGCTCCTCAAAGCTGAAACGTGTACCAGTTGTCGTGGCAGCCAGATCAAAAGTGTGGAAATCGAGAACCTGGGAAACCTGAAGTGCCTGAACGAGCATCTTGATGGAAAGAAATCACCTGCTACATCTGCTGTAAGTGCTTGGCTGCTTCAGCATCCCCAGGCCCCATTTAAGGTGGAAGATGTGTGCAAAGCTAATGAGCTGTGTGCCAGCTTTTCAGAGTGCGTGTGTGATGAAAACTGTGGAAAAGAGGCTCTGTGTAAATGGCTTCTGAAGAAAGAAGGGAAGGATAAAAATGGAGTTCCAGTCAGCCACAAAGATGTACCAAACCCTGAGCAGAAGACCAAGCCTGCTGCCAATGCCTGGCTTAACCCCGCACAGCAGCTCACAGGGGAACCCATTAGTGCAGAGAAAGCGGATTATTCAGCAGAGATCGCAGAACCCTTGAAAGTATTGCTCGAAAGGCCTCTGACAAGCTGGCTCGCCAAGTCTGAGCACAAAGCAGAAAGTGCAGAAGAAAAGGCGAGTAGGGAAAAAGCAGATAATAGTTCGAAGAGTCCTTTCCTAGACCTCTTGGCTCCATTCCACCTCCCCTTGAATGTAAACAGTTGGGTCTTGACTTCAAACAACCTAGAAAACGCTAACCCGCCTCCAGCAGAAGATAAATGGCTTCAACGCAAGAAAGCACAAGTGAGCATAAGTTTTTGTTACTGCTGTGTCTTAAGCCAATGTGCCAGATCTATTGTTCTACTGAATTTAATGCCTGCCTTCTCTTCCAAGTTCATAGCTCTTCTGGATAATACTGACTGACAATTTTTAGGTTTCTTAGCACTTTTAATGTTTTCAGTGATTATTACTTAGTTACTTAAGTAGATGAGACCAGTGTTTAACACAAAACAAGTTAATTTTGAAGTATAGCTCGTCTTAGTAAGTGAAGACAGTATTCATCTCCAGGACTCAGAAGTCAGTTTTATTTTCTTTGACAGAACACTTGACTGAATTCGAAGATGCATCAGAATGTATTTATGTTTGGAGATCAGTAATTAAGGTGACTTCTCTTTCAGGACTTTGACCTTCCTACAGTTTGTGACCTTTTTGCCTGTATGAAACTCAATGGAGACAAAGAAAAATGGCTGTATCGGACTCCTTTACAGGTAGGATACGGATGATGGCTGATAACTGATGTCTTCAGAGTTCTCTGTACGGAATGTTTCACAGCATTGTGATTTTTCTCCCCATATACCTTTTTAACAGCTTGGACCATTCTATTTTCTCATTATTTCTCCTCTTTTGATGGCAAGCCAGGGTGGGAATTACCTCTGTTCTTGACTAAATCACTCTTCAACTGATTGACACTTGGTAAAATCTTGGTAACTTCTGTTGTAACTAGAACGTGCAATTAACATCTAAATTTCCAGGCAGCTTCTTTCTTATCTCAGTAGTGCATTTACAGCTGGCGTCATGTTTCTCCTTTCTGCCAAGATAACTCTTTATCATTGTTTTTGAAATTCATGAAAAAAGTCCTTCTTAGCAGGCGTACTTTAAACCCTAAAAGGCAAGATACTCATTTCTAGGAAGTATTTTAGTATGGTTTTTTTTTTCTAGGCTGTCTTATACATGTGTTTTTCCAAAAGTGTTGCTTTCTGTTTATCAAAGAGAATAACCCAATTTTAAATTTGTTTAGATGTGAAGAACTGGAAGCATTGAAATTGTCCTCTTCATGCTGATGAATCGCACATCATGCTGAGTGACTGCAGCCAGCTGAATTCTTGTGTTTGTGTTTGGCCATCTGCTTTTTCTTCTAAAATTATAACAAAAAGGAAGATTACTCATATAATAGAGTTACGGTGCAGAAGATGCCTTTTTGTTATGATTAATTCTGCAATGTAAACCCACTGAGCATAAGCAATCTGATACTATAGAGGTGTTAGTAAATTTGTATCTGTTCTGGGACTACATGCATCTTCTTTAATGGGTTGTCACTTAAAGTATGTTGAAGCCAGTGCAAATACAAAGCAAAACCTCTCTGGTGCTGTGAAATGTCCACCTGTGGCAGTGACTTCAGATATGTTGCCGTTCCTTTAACTGCTGCAACTTTGTCATGAGTTGGGTTCCAGCTTACTGGGATTGCAAGGTAATTTAGGCTGTATTTGGACGCAATTTCTTTTATTGAGCAGTTGCTAACTTTAAAGGTTTCATTTGCATCTTGTATTGGTGTGTCTCCTGGCTGAGTATGTGTAGTCCAGATTCTGAAAAAGACATGTATTCATGGGACCTGACACACGACAGGAGAACTGGTAACTTAGTTTTGAATGAAAACTTTTCTTGCAAATTTTTGAGCCATTCAGAGAAAGGGTGGGGTGTTAATTTTCATGCATCAGTAGGTCAGATCCTGCCGTGTCCCCAGCATTTAATAACTATTTGAATTTCACTGAAACAGCTGTAAGATGAAATGTGTATGTTTCTGCTAGTTGTAGATAACTCATAATGAACTTTCATTGACTAAACCACTGGAAAGCAGGCATCTTAGCCACATAATATTTAAAAGTAATATTTGGGGAATTTGATGCCTTTTCATCAGATTTGATGTCATGCTGTTTAACTGGGAAACACTAACTTGGCAAACTGCGTGGCTCCTACTGATCCATTTCAAAGACACGTAAGCTGTGTGTTTCCATGCTGTTATCCATATGAAAGTGGGGTCAAGTTACTCTGATCCCCGTAGCTGTGGACATAATGTGAGCAATACCTCTTTAGGTATTTAGCATTTTGAGCCCGCAGGAAGGAGTGCAGAGATGTTAGATGGAAATGTGGATCACGCCTGTCAGCTTGCATGGAAAACTGTGAAGTTACGTAGTTTCTGGTGCAACTTCTACTCCAACTTCTACTCACTTAAGAAAGGGCTCTTAATGACTGTAAAAATAGCCTCCCGTTGTCCCCATCCCTGCAGCCTGCCTGGGAATAAAAGTGATTTCAGTTCCTCACAACACTGTAGAAAAGAGATGATTAGCAAGATCCAGCCTTGGTATCACTTCGCAGCATGAACGCATTCCCATGTGATAGAACCTGTGTGTTTGGTTAAAAGTAAGTTTTTTAGTCTGAGGGGGATACTGCACCTCTGAAAGCAGACCCCCAAAAGGGCTTAACAGCACTGGACCACTTGAGGCTTTCATACTGCCATGGCTGGGGCTTTCCGCTGGAAGCGGAAAGATGTTTTTGAAGTTCGCTTTCTCCTTTGAACATGTCCTTGTTGCTGCATGGGAAGACTGCACTGTGACTAACTCCAATATTGAACAGCCTAATTTGATTAGCAGTTGAACTTAATGAAGGTGATTGATGTGCAGCCCACCTCTTATAATTCCTTGTAGTTGTCATTGTGTGCTACTTTGTCAATTCATTATGAGCCTTTAAAACTTGGGGGTATGTATTCCTTTACTTACTCAACTGACTTGTTGTCACTAATTGATATTTATGTAAAACATTGATTAGTCTTTTCCATTAAAAAAATGATTGCAACCAAAGGGTGTGGTATGTCTCCTTTGCAAGATGGTGAACAAAAACTGTTGTGGCACGTTGCCTAGTTAACTCCTGTGTGGATGCCACTGCAGCTGTGCTTCCATCCCTGCACTGGTTCAGGTTTTCATTCTTTATTTCACCGCTACCCGCAGTTGCGCACAGCTGCGCTGTCAAAGCCAGGGAGCCCTGGCAGCAGGTACGTGCTGCAGCACAAGGCCCTGGAGAATCAGCTGGTATGTCTAAATCACCCAGCCTTTCCACTGCTGCTGTTAAGAAATACGGATTTAGACAAAATGACGTTTGTTTCCTATCACTCTTGAATACTTAAGGAGGATTTACAGATCTTAGTGGCCTTCAGGCCTCTTCTCCCATGGCTGTAGAACCTCTTTGGTCTGGCTGCACAAGTGGAAGTTAGTTCCTCTCTGTCTTCTGCTCTCCTGGTTTTTGAACATCAGCCTCCCTGCATGTTTTGTTCCTCCTCTGAGGATTTTCCTTTCCTTTAAACTAGAAGTAACTTAATCTAGGCTGCAGTGGAGCATGAAGTGAACATGCTCATGAGACAGTGAGCGGCTGGGCCTGGCAGTCTTTCAACCACAATAACTTTGAATTTCACGTGTGGCTGTGCCTACACAGCTCTTATAAATGGACTAGAGCTTCTTTGTTATAGGCAGCCACCTGCAGCACTCCTGCCCATGTATCCTGAGTATAGCTTTCAGAGATGAGGGGATAATGCTGCAGGTATTTTCTCCTTTCAAAGACAAGGAAGATAGAATGGCTGGAGCAGAGAATGCTACTCAGGGCCTCTCTGTATAACATTTGGAAACCTTTTTTTGAGCAGTTAGAGTATCAGATTGTATTGAGGAATGGGGTCCTCTCTGAAATGCTCAACTGTACTTCTCTCCTTCCCCATGGAGCTGGAGCAGTTACCTCCTGCTTTTCCCTCAGTGGAATTTCTGTGACAAATGAATCCTCCTAACTTGCTTCTGTGCAGAATAACCAAAATGCTTTGTGGTGACATAATGCACGTATTGGGGAAAGTGTGGAGCTTTATGCCTAATTGCAGGTGGGAGCCCAGACTTGAGACAGCAGAGGAGAGAGGGGGAAAGGGCAGCACTTGGCAGGCTGTCACTCATGCTGGCAGCGCAGGCTGCAGTACAGACTAGGTGAGTCAAGACATGAAACCGCCATTTCCTCTGTTCAACACACGTGGAGCCTGGGGAAACCCTTTACAAAGCTGTGAGGTGACAGACGCTACTGCAGCCTTTTACACACAGGAGCAGGAGGGCACAGTGGCAGGGGAGGCGTCCTTCCCTACGAGTAGCTGCTACCTGGAGCAGGGCTGCTCGCGGGGTTCCCGTGGCACTGGGCCGTTCGACTCCTGGGACCCAAAGGTGCTGCAGTGCAAGTCTGGCAGCAGCACCCACAGGACGGGGAGAGCATGGCTGACGGGGAAGAAGCATCTGGGGGGAACTGCTGGGAAAGTACCAAAACTGCTGTAGGACCCCCTGTGGTGTCCCTGCGGTGCCTGGCATTCAACAGCACAGGCCCATACTCACAGAGTACACAAAGCTCCACTTAAAACATACCAATTTCCTATCTAGAATTTATCAAGCACAGGGGTAACCTTTTGTTAAAGCATAAAAACAGATTTCCCCCCTCCTTTTTCAGTCCTAGATTAGGTCAGAGGAAACACAGGCTATGAACACTGGATCACTTTTTTGCCCTAATATACGTTTCCCTCCTGTTTTCAGAAGCAGCCTCTGCTTCATAGCTGAAGCTGGAGATTCCTACTACATGACTAGAGATTTTTTTTTCAACAAATTCCCTCAACCGTAAAAGAAGTCACTTGCTGACAGGGAATGGTGAAAGTGGTTTGCCTTTCCCTGTTCCAAAGATGACACAAAAGCAGCTTTACAAAATTCAAAAAGCCTTCCTTACACAGGTTGCCTCAGACTCCCTCACTCACTGCCGCAGTGTGGAAAGCCGTCTCCGCTCTATCAGCAAAACTAGATGCCATGTCTGGCGCTGCACGAGGGTAACTCA